TAATTTACTTCAAGGAAATATCTAGTATTTTCCCCGTATGATCCCATTAGGAACTCCCAACGCTCAAATCCCTGTGGCTAAAGGAAAGAGCTTGTTTTATGTTCCTAATTTAAGAACTCCGATGAAGTATCACTGTTCCACATATCTGAAAATGCGTATTTATTAGTTTTAATGCTTTCCCCCCCCTTACCACCAGAGCTTACAACCTGTCACTAAGAGTTATGAATTTCACTTTTAAGCCACTATGCCAACATATTTCAAAGCCATAATAATTAACACAGTTCAGTGTTGACACAAAGAGAGATAAACAATGTAATAGAAGACAGAAACCACAAACAGTGCGGTGGGGCAAGGCTGGCCTTTGCAGTAGAAGGTGCTGGGCTCACTGGTTATCCATATAGGGAAAACATAAATCTTGATCCCCCATGCCATTAAAAAAAAACAATTTCAGATGGACTGAAAATCTACATGTGAAAGGTAAAACAATATAGCTTCTACAAGAAAACATAGACATATATCTTCATAACCTTGGGTAAGCAAGTATTTCTTAAACAGGAAACAAAACCTACTTAACCATAAAGGAAAGAATTGACAAACTGGACTCTACACTAAAATAGAATTTCTGTTCATCAAAAGACACTGAGAAGGAAAGTAACCATACACTGTGAGAAGATACATGCCACCCACATAAAGATCTCGTATTTGAAATATATATAGACCTGCAAATCAAAATGAAAAAACAGACAACAGAAAAATTGGCAAAATACTTCAGCCGACACTTCATAAAAGGTGATATCCAAATGGCCAATATTGAAAAGGTGATTGAGCTCATTTAGTCATCAGGAAAATGAAAATTCAGGCTAAGATTCACCAGAAAGATCAACATTCAACATTACCTGACAATACCAGGTACGGCAAGGATGTAGAGCAACTGCAACCCTCAGACACTGCTGGTGGGAGCATCAAATGGTACAGCTCCATTGGAAGCCACTTGGACAGAATCTGCTAAGCCCGAACATAAGCTTATCCTATGATTTAGCAGTTCTGTCTACATACATTCACCAAAAGACATGTACAAGAACACCTGCCGCAGCACTATGTACAGTAGCCACATGGCCATCAACAGTTACATGGATCACAAAATTGCAGTCTGTGCACATGATGAATTATTACACAGCCAGGAGGATGAACAAACTCAGCTATGTGAAAAAATATGAATGAATTTCACAATTATAGTGTTGAATGACTGAAGCCAGGCAGAAGACTATATATTGTATAATTCCATTTAACATAAAGTTTTAAAATGGGCACGATTAATATATGGTACTAGAAAAAAAGATCAAAGTTACTTTTGTAGGGGATTAATGACTGGGATGGACAAGGGGGTTTCTGGCTGCTATCTTTGGGGTGCCTCTTGTATTGGGTGCTAGTTAGTAATACATGGGTGGGTTCACTTCCATGTACACATTTCTGATGTGTATGTCATTAAAAGGTATATTTTTAAAGAGAACATGCCAGTTCTATCAATCGGTGATTCCATTTCCCCCTAAAAAAAAGAGAAGAAAAAAAGAAAGTTGGGGTGAATATAATTGAAGTCAGGTAGCTGGTTTATCGTTCTTTTCCTCAGTACTGCCAGGCCTTTGGGTAAATATGTCATTAAATTCTGTTCCCCATTCCCTTCTTAAAACACTGAGAAGTTGAGATTATTTTCCTTGGTTATAACGTTAGATTTCTGTTGAATTTTATGGAACTTCGTGTAGGGGATCTGGCCACCATACCAGTGAAAAAAAGGTTAATGAGGAAGAGATTGTGGCTTATGTTGCACTGTGATTAATTCCAGATTTTGAAAATAATCTTCAAACCAAAAAAAGAGAGAGAGACAAACATTCCAAGGCTTCGAAGAAACCAACTCAAAACAATTAATTTTCTCCTGTGTGGCTATTGAAATAGAAGCTGATGAGACCAGAGAGCAAGTGCCAGCTGATCAATGTCACAGCTTCCTAGGGTTTAGCTAACAAAAACCTGAGAATCAAAGAGCACATAATAGAATTATTAAAACGAGATACAAAGAAAGAGCTCCTTCAATGATAATAAGCTAAAAGAAAATCTTCAAATGGATAATGAAAGCTTACAGCTGTTTTTCTCACCAGGAGGAAAGAAAAGCTAAACTACTGCCCTCCACTCTATTCCCTGTTACCCTCTACCCTTGTGCATCTAATTGTTTTAGAATTCGAGTGCCACAGTATTCATGGAAAACAATGCCCAGTTTAAAACCAAAGGCTCTTAATACAATGCGTTAATGAATTTACTAAATCCTTCCCCAGCAACATACATCATTTTAAAAAGTACTTAATATTTGAAGATTTCAAGAAGTCTAAGAAATACCTCACCTATTGTATGAAAAACAACAGATAAGAAAAAAAAGTTTGTCTATTACATTTGGCCTAAAAGAATTTTAAATCATGCTCTCATTATCATAATTATATTCAATTCCATGAACTTGAGAGTTCTCAGCATATTAATTCAAATGGTGTAATAATAAAACAGTTCATTCTCTGAGATCTCAGCCAAATCCTCAATATTGCAGATATGCCTATGATTCTCAGAACCCTTGCCCTGCTTCTTCACCATTAGACATATCCTATCGCCCCTGGAGTATGAGCAAAGGTTTTCATACTTGAGCTGAAGACCTTACATCTGAGTTCTGGGTCCAGGTTATTATTCCAAGGGTGTGAGATACAAAACTATAACCAGTCTATTACAGGATAACTATTCCCATACCCCCTTCTTGTCCTGGGGTAGACGGATACCAAAGTCAAGAGCAACTACACCAACCGCACTGTGTACCTTGGCAGTTACCGTGGTCTGAGTTTTGGTACCCATCCCGTTTACTTTTTTCAAGCACAACATCTGTTACTCACGCCAGGGGCTGGGGAACCTTCTAAGTGATGGCTGGGAACAAGTTAGGGCCGTGTGGCTAGACCAGCATATACAGGAATTCTGGAGTGCCACCAATACATCAACTCCCCTTGCAGGACAGTGACAGAAACCCAAAGATAAAGGAGTCTCAGTAGCTTGCCATTGTAATAGAGTGATGCTATAGTCACCTGCAACCTCTAGTCAGGCATTGAGGTGGTGAGCAGCATTGGCTAGTGTGGCCAACAATGCCGTGTACAGCCAGAGAGAAGCTCCAGACCAGTGGTTCTCACACTTGGGTGTGAATCAGAATCACCAGAGGGGACTGTGCATAGCTACAGAGAAGCTCTAGTATTTTTCTTAGTAGTTCTCAAACTGTAATGTGTGTGAATCATGGAATTTTTCTTTAAAATGACTGCTGTCAAGCTCTATTGTGGAAATTCTCATTCAGTTGGTACAGGGGATGGCCCAGGAATTGGCATGGGTTTTTTGTTTAATGTTGTTGTCATTTTTTAAACAAGCTTTCCTTGTGATTTTGACACAGATTGATGCTTGGTGACATTTTGGGAAACATTCCTCTTTAGTGGATCACCTGGGCCATGGTAGCTCTCTCCTCATTTCTAGTGTGGCCAAATTATTAATATTACTGCTTTCCTGAGTGGGGAATGTGGAGGGCTTTCACCTTGGGACGTAAGGAAGCTTTCTGGTTGTAGTTTAGCAAAACTATCCCACGAAGTAAAGTCACAACTCATGTAGACCAAGTTCCATGACCAGAATCATTGAACACTTCAGTGGCAAGACTGTAAGGTGTTGGACGAAGAGGACAACCTTCCCTGATAGAGGAGGGCCGTTCTTCGGTCAAGGGTATACGAGTAGCTGTGCTCCCCTGCTAGAACCCCCAAACAAGCTTTCAAAAGCAACTACAAACGATGGTTAACTTTTTGGGGGATGGGTGGAAACTGAGAGATGGGTATATGATAGGATGCAGTATTTGTATTCTACACCTTCTTATACTTGTATGTTGAACAATATGAATGTATTACATATTTTCAAAAACATTAAAACAAACCTCACTCAGTCCCAAATTTCTACTCACCTGTATCAATCTACCACTTTAGGCACATGGCAGAGAAGAATGAAAGTAATGATATCCCCTACCTGTACCAATAAACACAAAGTACAATCAAAAGAAAATCCCCAGAAAATATTTTCAATGAATGTTTCGGTTTATAAAAAGGTAAGTGAAATTCAATTTCACAGAGAACATATAATGTTTGGATTGCAAAACCTTTCTGTGTGATTATACATTGACAGCACAACATACAAAAATAGCTTGACATACAAAAATGCAGCTGTGATCCAGCAAATGGCACCAAATTTAGAACAATTTTATTATTTAACATAATACCAATGTATATACATTACCCTCCCAAATAAGAAACAATTTGATTCCAAAGTTTAAAATGTAGTTTCCAAAATGAATTCTTATTGTAAATTTGAAGAAAGAAAGAAAGCCCTGAAAATTATACAAACTTAATTTTGATCCTTGACTAAAATATGCACCCTGTACCAATCACCTTTCTCATACAAAAATGTATATTATAAATAAAACTTTCAAAAAAAGATTTTGGATGTTTTATTGCACATCATACAGAACGTTTACCACTATCTGAAAGGCTTTTAGCCCTTTATTGTATTAGCTGTTTACAATATCTACTGAAACTTGGGTGAAAACAATCCTCTGCAGATATTAGTATATCTAGGATCATATATGATGTTTACCAGAAACAGGAACATCTACTCTTATTGGACTGCTTCTGTCACTTCTGTTTCCTACTGTCTAAAAATAATTACAGGAGATCTAAACAGATTAAAAGTCCTGTTCAAATGTCAGTTTTCTTTTTTTCAAACAGAAACCACATGTAGAGGGGTTTTACTTAGTCATATACTCCTACTCCCTCCTAGGACCAGCCCTTCTTGAAACATACATGTTAAAAGATCAGACTACAGGGTTCCTAATAAAGCTGTCCATCATTAACAGTTATTGTTTTGGTCTCAACATTTTCAAACTTTCTTAGCGGTTGTTAAACCAGCACAAACCAGCCAGAATGGAATGGCCTTAAAAGGTTCCCTAGTAAGTTTTCATACCATCTAGCACAGTGCCTAGCACACAGTAGGCATTGAATAAATATTTGATGAATGAATGTACTATCTTTTAAGACCACTTCCTACATTTATATGTATTAATGATTTATGAGTAATATGTTGACTTAGGGTACACAGATCTAACATGATGACTAAACAAAGAACACATATGACATGAAAATAGATACTGTTAGTTTCTACAATCCTGCTCCAGGACAGAACATGTATTTGAAAGGTTAAAACTATTCCAATAATAAAAATTGATTAGTCAAATATTTTTATTTCATCAAAGGACTCTAACAGTTAGCCTTTGGCAATTCCCAAACATATCATGAACCCCAAACAAAACAAAACCAAATTGCACTATTACACAGAAACAAGTCCATGAAAGTAGAGAGGACACGCTAGTTAAGGGACAGCAACTTCAAGGAGACGGTTGTTTTTTCGTTTGCATGTTGGGACACTCCCATTTTTCTGGTTGCCCTGAATAAACTTCACACACACTTTGTCTTGTCTGAACTGTACCAGGAACCTAGGAGAAAAGAATAAAACAAATTAAAGAAAATTATGCACAAAATAGCTAGTGATTACAGTAACACTAGCTTTTGTATTTTAATGGATATTGATCTTGACAAGTACAGGCTGAGCATCCCTAACCTAATCCAAAAATCCAAAATCCAAAATTTTTTGAGCACCACCATGAAGCTCAAAGAAAATGCTTGCTGGAGCGTGTTGGATTTCAGATTTTTGGGCTGATGCTGAACCAGTAAGTATAATGCAAATATAGTTGTGTGCTGCATAAAGACATTTTGATCAACTATGGACCTCACATACAATGGTGGTCTCATAAGATTATAATGGAGCTGAAAAATTCCTATCACTTATTGACTTTGCAGCTATCCCAATGTTGTAGAGCAATAAACTACTCACGTTTGTGGTGATGCTGGTGTAAATAAACCTCCTTTGCTGCCAGTCATATAAAAATATAGCATATACAATTATGTACAGTACATAATACTTGACAATGATAATGAACGACTATGTTATTGGTTTTTGTATTTACTATACTATACTTTTGTCATTTTGGAGTATACTCCTTCTACTTATTAAAAAAAAAAGTTAACTGTAAAATAGGCTCAGGCAGGTCCTACAGGAGGTATTCCAGAAGAAGGCATTGTCATCATAGGAGATGAAAGCTCCATATGTGTTACTGGCCCTGAAGACCTTCCAGCGGGACAGGATATGGAGGAG